AAAAAAAAAAAAAAAAAATGTTGATTCTCCCCTACATTAGTCAGTGAATTCAATGCTGTAATAAAAATCCTCAAGATTCTTTTATTTGTTTAGGATTTTGGAACTTAAAAAAGTGATTCTGTCAGGTACAGTATATGGATAAGAAAGCCAGCACATATTGAAAAAGAATAACCAGGTGACCTCTCAGATATGGAGATACACTGTAGAGATCTCAGACCACTGTGGCCTGCCATGCACCTACATGGGGCCCTGTGCTGAGAGCTGCACCTGGTTAATAATCACAGCAAACCGCTGGTGAAACAACAGCTACCCTCTCTGTTCACAGAGGAGGAGCCTGATTTAGGGACTCAGAAGGGTCATTTGCGTTGCCTGAGGGCACAGGACCAGTAAGAGACAGAGGAACAGCATACACCTGAGGTCTAACTCTTTTGCCAGGGGCGCTAATGACTAGATTACTATCCATTACTATTTGATTTTGTAAACTAAAATAATAATTATACTCAAACATACATACACACACACATAAATATAAACACAGACATATCAAGAAGCATTGTTGGGAGGGCAGTGCTACCAATGTGTTTACCTCTTGGAGACAAGACAGGGCCATTGTTCCTCCTGCTATTACTCTAATTCTCCTTTTTATTTAGTGGGTGAGTGTACATTGGCTTTCCATTCATCTTTCTCTTTCTCCCCTATGATCTGGCTGGATACCCCTCTTTGAGAGCCAGAGAATTTGATAGTTTCTCTCCTTAACTTTGCCCCGGGAGTTTAGATGTTCATTTGCCTGCAAAGGCATGTGTGGGTGTGGCACTTACTAGAATGAGATTTTTTTCCCCAGTGGCCCTTTAAGCCTTACCTGCAAGATTTAATACCTCATCTAAGCACCACCTGTGCTAGTAATTACCTAACTTTTTTTCAATTACCAACTTTTCTAACTTAAAGTTATTTTTAAAAGGCACTTTGTATTGTCTCTAGGGGAAAAAAATCATTATCCTTTTCTGTATAGAGAAAGTTATAAAAATAAACACAATGACCCTATGTTTCATTGGTGGACATACTTTGTAGGTTACTTTTAAGGCTGCTGTGTGTTTGTGTGTGTGCATGCGTGTGTGTGGTGTGGTATGCACATTAAGCAACTAGGTCTTTTGTCCAAAGTATCCCACTGTCTGCATTTTGCTGAACACATCCTAAGGTAAGGTTTACCATGTGGCTCTGTCTACTGTATTTCCTGTAAACTGGAGTTTACAGGTGTCTAGAATTTTGATCTTATTCAGATTTTGCTGTTTTGGCAAGACTACATAGGTGATAGTGTGTTCTTCCATCAGGAGAGACTTAAAGTCTCATTGTCTCTTTTTTTTGTGGGGTTCATATGTCATCAGCATTATCTATCCAATAAAAAGTTTCTCTTGGCTTTTCACCTCTTGGTTTCAACAGCCATTGATGGTTGTTGAGAGTTATTAATAATTAGAGTTCATAAATTGATTATTCTAATTCTATCATTTTGTTATTAATAGCTATATTACTTCTATAAAGAGAAACTTGGCTTTATAAACTATATGGTTATCCTGAAAGACAGGTTGTTTGGAAAGGCAAGACAAATGCTACATTCTTCTCTTCATGATTCAGAATAATTTGTTGGTTCCCAAGCATCCTCCAAAGGTGACATTGCTTAGATCCTGATTTGAAATAACCAATTATAAAAAGCCATCTATGAGATTACTGGGGAAATTTGAATGCCCTGGATATTTGATGATATGAAGGAAGAACTGTTAATTTTAGCCATGATAATGGCATTTAGTAGGTTAAAAAACTATGCTTATCTTTTAGAGATATAAGCCAAAGTGTTTACAGAAGAAATGGTACAGTATCAGGGACTGGTTTCCAAATAATTTTGGCAGGGGGAGGAATGAAGAAGGGGAAATGATTCACCTGGTAATCAATGTCTCTGTCCCCATCAAAACACCACTGATGTGGACCCCACGCTTGGGAGACAGCTAGTACCTGCTGCCTCATGACTGTTAAGGGCAGAACACCCACAGTGATACCTGTGTTTTCCGTGTTCCAGTGCTATCATAGAGCACACTAACCGGGTCATCTTCCTGGAGGATGATGACATTGCTGCAGTGGCTGATGGGAAGCTCTCCATTCACCGGATCAAACGCTCTGCTAGTGATGACCCATCTAGAGCCATCCAGACCTTGCAGATGGAATTGCAGCAGATCATGAAAGGCAGGTGTCCTTTGAGAGGTTCTGTGCCTGTGGTGGAGCTCTGGACACTCTGCCCTGCCCTTGGTGTGGCCACTATCCTCTGTGGCCACCAGGGCAGGGCTGTATGTGGCCTGTGACTCGCATAGCTGAGGGGATGTGGGGAGCCTAGCCCGGTGCTTCCAAGTGGGAATGTTGTCTCCTTGAGCTGACCCCAGCACATCAACTGCATTCCTGTACTCTGGGACACATTCCCACCCCCAGGTGTCATTTCACCTTTGGGCAAGAGGTCCATCTCTGCACCCATTTCTACCCCCCTATAAGCACTATGCCACAGGGCAACATGCGCAAACTTTTGAGAACACGACTCAGACACTGTGATCTCCCACTGCCTAATGACTTCCTGCCATTCATAGAATAAAATCCAAACCTCTACCACTGCCAACAAGTCCCCACCCCTATCTGGGCCAAAGCCTGGCCCTGGCCCCACCACACTCCGCCCTTTGCCTGCTATGCCCCCACTGGTCCTGATCTGGTTGCCTCAGAATCTGGCTGCTCACCCACACTGGGGTCCTCGCATTCACTGTTCTCATAGGACTGGCACCTTTTGATCATCACAAGCTCCCCTGAGACATCACCCATCAGAGAATCCTCTAATCCTATATCTGCCATGGCCCCTCCATACCCCATCCTCCCTGATGGCCACTTCCTCATTTGCTTTATTTTTTCTTTGTACAAGTCCTACGTCATGGGCATAAGATGGGGAACACTGGCAATGTTTGGCATCACAAGTGCATGTATCCTAGAGGTCACTGCTCACCAAGTTGGCGGATGCCTCCAAGGCCTCAGATGCAACACCTCCCTCAGAAGCTTGAACATCCTATAGCCAGATCACCCTTTTGTTATCATTCAGTCCTACTCAAATCGGAGCCCAGAAATGCATGTGTGGCTAGAAAGATTTGGTTTGGGTTTGGGTTTTTATTAAAGAAGCCAGGAGGTTATTTACTTTAAAAAGATAATGTTTCTTAGGGCTTGCTTACTTTGTACTTTCCTAGGTGGGTGGCCTTTTGGAAGTATAGCATTTTACTTTCTTCTGGCCTTGCTAAGGGGATGTTGCTGCAGAACCAGTGACACCTTTTGTTTATTTGCTTGCATGGAACAAAGAAGCCTCCCTTCCTCAAGCTTCAGAGTCTAATATATGAATTAGAAACAGTCCTTATACCAACCTGCTTCTCTCTGACTTGTCTTCTGAGCATCCCCGCAGTGGGCTTCACAGGTGTTGCTACCACTGTCGCATAACCACTTTCCCTCCTGATAAAAAGTTAAGCAGTGGAAATGTAAATCAAATTGAAACTGACTAATCTCATTGATGTTTATTTGACCAGGTAACTTCAGTGCATTTATGCAGAAGGAGATCTTTGAACAGCCAGAATCAGTTTTCAATACCATGAGAGGTCGGGTGAATTTTGAGACCAACACAGGTAATTCCTATACTTGATGGGGAGCCTCTGCCTCCGCTGTTTAGAGTCAGCATTAATGCCCTGCTGTGTGCCCACAGTACTCTTGGGTGGCTTGAAGGACCACTTGAAAGAGATCCGACGATGCCGAAGGCTCATCGTGATTGGCTGTGGGACCAGCTACCACGCTGCCGTGGCTGTAAGTGCAACGGGCTGGACCCCTGATAGTGCAGGGAAATAAGGGATCTGGGACAACTCATTGGTCTTACATTTTATCATTTGTTTGGCCTTCTGAATTTGAAATGCCCTCACACCCACTTCCATGAGCCAGCATTGGAAGCAGAGCAGGGCCCTTTCTTCTATAAGGTATGAGTGACCGAAGTCCCCTCACCACCTGGACAGCAACAGCAAGGTGCCATGTCACAGACTGTCCCTGGAATCCCAGCTGTCCTATGTCCCCATAGAGCCTTTGACTGACTTTAGTCCCTGTTCTTATTGGTTTCAGACACGGCAAGTGTTGGAGGAACTGACCGAACTCCCTGTGATGGTTGAACTTGCTAGTGATTTTCTGGACAGGAACACACCTGTGTTCAGGGATGACGTTTGCTTTTTCATAAGCCAATCAGGTAAGGGATACAGGCAGTGTGGCCAGGTGTGCATTAGGTCAGCTCTGGGCCCTCTACGCTCTGTGACATACCAGATAATTCCCTCCCTCCTTCATCCACTTGAGTCCTCCGTATGCCTACCTTCTGCCCCATGCTCTTTCATGGGTCAGGTCATTTAGCCTTTGGAGCCATCACTTACTTGTTGTGCAGTGAGGGCGAGATGCATCCAATGCCACATAGCTAGGGAGTTAATAGAGCTGGAATCGGCAGGAATCCAGGTCCATTGGTTTTCCCTTGCCCTCTGGTTTCTCCCTCCTCTTGCCAGCCCAAGTTAAAGACTTCTAGTACTACTCACCAAGATGTTTGTAGATGTTTTCTGGACTTAATTTCCTGGAGGAAAAATAACCTTCAAAATTTTGCTAGGTTGAGAATCCCATGGAGGACTCAATGTGCAGTGCCCATGCTGCCCAGCAGGGGGAGTGTGGGAGACCCTGCTTTGGTTTAGGCCCTAAGGACTGTCCTGAGATGAGCAAACCCCACCTGGTGCCATCCTAAGGCTGGACTTGGACACTTGCTTCAGGGAGGTGATCCATGGCCATATGTTTGAAGTCTTCTTGAATTCTGGGAGGATTTTTGAAATTTTTGATTATGGAGTATTCCAAACCTTTATAAAAGTAGAGACATTGGTGTAATGAATTGCCCAACCTCAGCAGTTATCAACATGGCCAACAATTGCCACCAGTACCCACACTAATCTTTTCCCTTGGCTGGGTTATTCTGAAGCCAAAATATCACGTTATTTCATCCATAAATACAGAAGGGTGTATGGTTAAACTGTTAGAAATAAAAGCATAACCACAATTTCATTACCATGACTAAAAAATTGACAGTAACGCTCCAATACCTACTGGGGCATTTAATACTGCTTCCATGTTGAGTTTTTGTTTTTGTTTTTGTTTTAACAAAGCAATGTCTATTTTATTTTATTTATTTTTGTAGTTTTTAGCTGGGGCTGGGTTTGAAGTCACCACTTCCAGCATATGGGGCCCATGCCCTACTCCTTTGAGCCACAGGTGCCGCCCCCATGTTGAGTTTTTCCATTTTGATAGCAAGCTAAGAAAAACTGACACAGATATATTCATCATTGGGCTGACTCCCTTGTCACCAGGAGCTGCCACATTTGCCTTTAGGTTTTGATCTCATTAGAGCTTAAAAACTTTTCATAAATTGGTGGAAGCCATTAACAAAAGAAGAGAGGAAGATTTAATGTGAAAATAATGCAGTGGCAGCTCCTGAGTCTCTATAGGTACGAAAGTGTTCAGCCCTATAATGAGATTGAAAAAAAAGAAAAAAGAAAAAAGACTACTAAAACCTGGGAGGTGAAGCTGCTGAACACAGAAGCTCTTTCCGCTCCCCCTTCCCCAACACTGCTGGTGCTGAGGCAGTGCCACATGACACTTCAGTGTTGCCGTAAGGGTCTCGCGGAAAAGCCATGTCGCGGAGGATAAGCACGCTTATTGAAATTGTAAAGGTGACCATTTGCTCGGTCAGGCAAAATGGTGAGCTTTCTTTATTTACTGTTGGTTTATATGGCCAATTTTGTACATGTGCATTATACATCAATGACCTCATTAATATGAATTACAATCCTTCTGCACATGTGCACTGGACGTCAATGACTTCCCTCTGTACATGCGCATTGGACATCAGTGACTTCATTAATCCATTTAAACATCTGTGACCACCTTGTGAGTAGCTCCTCCCTAGTAATCTGATAATCTACCCAACATACACCTTTTAGCATAACCCTTTCTTTTTTTTTTTTTTTTTTTTTTT